TTTCAACAAAATATTGCTTTTGGAAAAAAAATTGTTTCTAATTTTTTTTTTCAAAAAATATTTTTGTAATTTTGGATTAAAAATTCAAAAAATTGCCCAGGCTAAGCACAGTCTAAGCGCCACTCTGGTACAAATGCTTACCCAAGTGCGTTTAGACTGTTTATGTACTGGAGCACATTTCCAATTTTGTGAAAACTATTGAAAAATGTGAAAATGCCGCCAGCTAAGCACAGTATAAGTGAAAATGTCGCACAGAATTATTTGCAAATGCGTTTAGAGACTGTGACTATGCGGGAGCAGTTTATCAATTTTGTGTAATTAGGCAACTAGTTTTTTTTTTTAAATTGAATTCGAAATGAAATGACGGTTGTTAATGTTCTGGAGATAATTGATTTATGATTTACATTTTTATTTGCTCAGATATAACAAGATAGCAAAAATAATGAAAGTTACAGTATTTGTAATAATATATTTGGAAAACGTTTAAAATTTCTCGAATATTTCATTACGATACGGGAAGTTCCAGCAATTTGCCTTAAGGCACGATGCCATGCGTCCCACTAGTTTATCATTATGTCGGGGTACCACTGTACTCGAATTTCATTCACTCTCAGTATGTTGGCATTGGACGCCACTGTTTTAAATGTAACTTCAAATTCTAACATATGTCGAAGCATATGTCGTGGATCGCGCATGCTTGAGAACTCGTACTAAATCATGACGTATATATGCGACGTATATACTATACGTCAAGGGCAACAGGTTCCTCGAAAAGCTTTGATATTCTTGTCTGAGAAATTTGTGATTCACACTATTTATTTAAAAGATTCCTAATAATAAAACTAAGCGTCATTGAATTTATAATATTTATAAACTCACTGATAATTTCTCAGTAGCACATGAATTTCCAAATGTTAAATGATAAATGTAAACAAATTGCAATTTTAGCAACAAATTTAAAATATAAATAGTTCATGTGTATTTGTATCATTTTAGATTTTTACATAAATAAAAGGTAAATCATTGGGCTGATCTTTTAAAAAAACACTATTGATGGTGATCAAACTAATTACTCAATGTCTACCTATACATTGTCTATAGATTGTGAATTATATGCAAATACTAAAAAAAACTAGTGGGGTGCATGGCATCGTGCCTTAATGCAAATTGCTGGAACATCCCGTACCATAATCAAAAATCTCGATACGGAACTCAAAAAAATTTACACAAAATGCGTACACAATATTAAAATATCTATAAAATATCTGATAATTTGATGTGCATATGTCTAATGATCATTTTTGACCGGCCAAAAGGCATTTTTTTAAATTATTTTTATTGAGAGTCCATAACCACTGGATCTGCCTTTCCAAAAATTTGATCAGTGCTTCATCTTGACAATACAAGTAAAATGTTTTTTACATTATTAAAATTGGACGCTCCGTTCTCGGCACTTTTTGCCCCGTATCTACGGAACGACTACACCTGCCTTCGCCAAAAACTAATCAGCATGTCTCCTTATCAATACGAATCGAGTGTTTTTTGAATTACTCAAATCGGTTAATCGATGTTCCCGTAATCGTCGACGAAAATTTGTATCCGCACACACACACACACACACACACACGCACACACACGTACACACACACATATTTTCAAAATGTTCAAAAACCTTTGAAAAGTAAAGATATATCAAAATTTTCATTTTCGATTTTTTTGCGATTACTATAACCGAAAAAAATAGTTTTCATCCATTAATTCTGATGCAACAAATGCAACACATTCGAAATATCAAGCAAACAAAATGATTTTGATGAAAGATTTATGGTGCAATCATTTTCTTAACAATGAGTCAACTTTTCCCATTGTCTTTAAAATTTTCATTTGAATTTCTGATGAAACATTGACACAATAGCATATTAATAATATTTATAAATAAGCACTAAAGATTGAAAAGGAAATTACTAAAAGTTGGATTTAACCGAATTTCCAAATACCATGCACTATATATGTAAAATGTATGTAAAAATATAATTTGTTTTCATATTTTGGAACAATGAGTGAATATTTTACCAATACCAATACTAATTACACATATACTAAATAATAGTTGATGATGTTAAATATAAAATGATTTTGAATAAAGAATAAAAATTCAGAACTGTAAATGTGAACTTTTTCAATTTTGATAACTACATGAGCATATAAAATAACATGCAGAATTATTTCTAGAAAGTAAAAGTAAGCATGCTGATATCGAATTCATGACCAAAGATAGCTATTTAGAATTAAAAATTTACAATACGATAAAATATAAAGCTTTTCTCCTTACCTTTTTCCCAGATCTGCTTTTCCTCCGAAAATCAGTTACATCTCTATCATTCTCCAAACTATTCCTTCTACAAGTATCACTACATATACTATCACTACCCGATACTTCGCTATCACTTTCACAGTCACTGCTATCATCATAATAACTACTATCATCACTCTCGTAACTCAATCTATCTTCCATATCGTCAAACATGAAACACTCTTCTGGAGACTGGCTACTCTCCCCAAAACAAATTACAAAACTATCATTACTATCACATAGAGATGGTTTCCGATTCAAATTATTCCTTTTCGGATCATTTTTATTATCATCAGCAAATATCACAAAACTGTCTTCAGTTTCACACTCTGAAGACATTCTTTTACGTTTAGGAATATTTTCATTGTTTATGCCCAAATTTTCTGTGGCTAAATGCCCATTATCTAAATTGTGTACATAAACAAAGTCGCTCTTAGTTTCTGTGGGTGATTTTGTTGTTGACATGACATTGCTGAAATGTTTAACTGGTGGAAGGCGTTGTAAATAATTCCAACATTTTTCAAAACTTTGTGATAGTTTACTAGAACAACTGTTGGGATAATTTTGTAGTGTTTGAGGAGATAATTTGTTGCTAAATTCATCATCACAATCATCAATTTGGTCCTCGAAGCCTTGATAATAGTCATCAAGCATATCGTGTATAGTATTGGATTTATTCTTATGTTTTGAAGATTTTGATTTGCCTCGTTTTTTAGGTTTGCTATGCTTAGATTTACTGCAGTGTCTGGTTGTTGGTTTTTGCATAATTTTATCGTTTGTATCTTGGATTTGTGATGAAGTAGTTCCATGTTTAACTTGCTGCATATTTGAATCTTTCAGAAGCTTATTTTCTGTTGTTATCTTACTGCTTGTGTTTTCTAAATTAATGCACTTTTTCTCTTCTTTATTACTTTCACTTGCCAATGGTTTCTCTGAAACTATAGTTTCTGCCAACATGGACTTTGTTTCTACGGGCTTCTCGCTTTCAATAACTTTACTTTGAGATAAAAATGAGAATATGTTTGTTGATCTATTATACGAATCACTAAAATTTTGACTGTTGGCAAATGTGTCTGAACAATTTTTGTAATCCCTTCGAAATCTGGATAAAAATCAACTTTACCCGTGGACAATCTTTTTCAAATCTTGCGAATTACATAAACCAAAATTTAGCCTTGGTAAAGCTATCATACTATTCAAGAATGTGATTGTTGAAGATTCGAAATTTACTTTGGAACTATTGTATCTGGGAAGAAAATACCTGGGCGCCGTCGGACCAGGCGAGCGCCAATTCTTATCTAGAGAGGCACGCCAATTCTGTCCCATTTTGACGTCACTCATACTATTCGTCGACATTCTTTCTATTTGCACCATAATTAAATAATAATATCAATAATACGTGAATGTCCTAAATGATTATTATCAGTATCAATATTACAATTCCCAAATGTAGAACGATGAGTACAAAATCTGTTTGTCACTCTTCTGGATCTCTTGTCAGTAATTTTTCCTATTTTACTGCACTTTATACAACAATCAGGTTTTAAATTATATTTCATTAAAACACCGTAAACTTTTTTCACTGCTGGTTGATATTTCTGGTTTAATTTCTCCATTATTACAATTTAATTGGAATCTTTTGTTTAATAATCACTTTAAGCTGCCATTTTGTTATCTGTCAAGTATTGAATGTTGTTACGTGCGAAACGGCTCGTTGAGTTGAAAGGAGGATGTGGCCTTGTACGTGCGTCCGAGGGTCCGAGGCTAATGAAATTGCGCAAATGGAAACCAACGTGAACTTATTTGAATATGAATATAGAAAACGTTGGATTTTGAAAATGCGGTGCGATGATCCAAACTTAATTCCTTATATTTGCTATTTAAATAGAATTATTTTACGTTAAAAATGAAAAAAGTACGTATTTATTGATGTATAAATTCAAAAATTTTGAAAAATAACTGACATTTGGAAAGAGAGACAAAAATATAATCCTGGACAATATTATATTGTAATATATTCATATGAATACTAGCAAACCCGACGAACTCCGTTTCGCCACCAGATGGTTTCGTGAGAAAGATGAAGAAATTTTTTGTTTGTTTTATATTTGAAAAGGAAAATTTTGATTTTATTGCATAACAGTAATGAATTTATTTCGATTACAAAAATGAAGACTTGTTTAGTTGAACTTCTCTAAGTAAATGAAAGTGAATTCGCCAATAATCCGTTTCATTGAAGTGCTCTTTGGTAAACCACATTTTTTGTTTTTTGGTCTGACGTTAACACAAACAAAGCGGATGGTTTTCCAACTCGTGAACATGGAACGTATAACTGCCCATGTGAAAAACAATGATTTTCTAAATAATCTATTTGAAATTTATCCCGCAAACACTAAGCGATTGGCCTTGCAACTTGTTATTGCGAACGCAAGGCGAACTGGAAATTGCAATTGTTTGAAGTCAAACGGAAAACCAGTCGGAATTATTGGTATGTCACCAAATCGCCAGCAATTTTTGATTGAATGGTGAAATTCACTGCGTGTACATCATTATTCTTTGCGGCAAGAATTGCTAGTTGACTTAACCAAGCATAATTCTGATAATTCTCACTAATGTCATTACTCGAAATTTTAATTACTGTGCGTGAAATTCCAGCAATTTGCATTAGGGCACGATGCCATGCACTAATTTTCTTAGCTATAAACCTTGCGAAACCCGAGACCTTTCGAATGCAAAATTATCGAAATCGGTTCGTGCGTTCTGGAGTTATTTCGTCAGGAAGGAAAACCCTACTTACTTTTATATATATATAAGATAATCTATTTGCAATGATTTAAAACAATTATTGATTATTTTTATTACTCGAATTTTTAATTACGGTGCGTGAAGTTCCAGCAATTTGCATTAGGGCACCATGTCATGCACCACTAATTTTCTTAGCTATAAACCTTGCGGAGCCCGAGACCTTTCCAACGAATGCAAAATTATCGAAATCGATTCGTGCGTTCTGGAGTTATTTCGTCAGGAAGGAAAACCCGACTTATTTTTATATATATAGAAGATAACCATAGTGCATAAATTATATTTAAATTAAATAAGAAATAGTACTAACAAAATATTTCGAGAAAAAATACTTGTTCACGCCCTTGTAATTTAAAATTATTCATATTGATGAAGTTTTACTCATTTATATCCTTGAATGAATTTTGTTACATATGTATTCATTCTGTTTCTTTAAAGTCATTTTATTTATATTATTGCTAATAGCACAGTTATGTTAAATTGTTGATAGATATCACTTAAAAAAAATTAATAATAAACATGAATTTAATGTCGACATCCATTAAACACAAGCATAATGAAAAAATATTTACGTTTTTACCATGAATATTATAAAATAAAATTCCTGATATAAATGTAATGGTCCTGTTTTTTATTATATTTATATTACGATTTGCAAACACAATCAATTTTTACAACAAATATTTGATTCCGTCACCACAACGATTAGCCAATTATGTACAATTTTATTTTACTTCTATTTCTCATGCACATGTACATTTTTATATAAAAATAAATTACTTTACATAAATACAACTCAACAACAACTAACAATAATATAATTTAACATAAATATACTTTGAAATTAAAAGTTTGTTTTAAAACATTATAGTATAACAGATATTTAACAAAATAAAATGAACATTATTTAATGTTAAATTTTGTAATGTAAACATTTATATATATATATATGTAAATAAGACAGTCACTAGTAGATTATGGCAGGTGTGAGCTTATGAAGTTTCTTTTTGGATAAAGAAATATTTTCCATAGAAAAGATAATATATATTACTCTGAACAAAATCCACTTTGTGCTTGAACTCCAATATATTAATATTAATATCCACTATTAACTAAATGTTTCTACTTTTGTATCTTCGTGTAGAACCAATTCCTTGAAAAATCCTTTGTTCTTATTAATTAGTTGGTCATAAGTACCTCTTTCAACAATCATGCCGTCTTTTAAGACAGCGATTGAATCAGCCCCTCGAACAGTGCTGAGACGATGAGCTATTACTAACACAGTACGAGATTTTTCTAAAGTCAGAGCCTCCAGTGCTGAACGTATTAACCGTTCTGAATGAGTATCTAAAGCACTAGTTGCTTCATCAAGGATTAAAATAGCAGGATCCTGAAAAAGATAAAGTATAGAATTATGGTAATTGTGGATATAAAAATATCATTTAACTTATAAAAATTAACTTACCTTTATAATGGCTCTAGCTATTGCAACTCTTTGCTTTTGGCCACCACTAAGCATAATGCCTCTTTCCCCAACAATTGTATCGACTCCTTGAGGTAAGGTTTGAGTAAAATCGATCACGTGTGCGCGTTTCATAGCATCTAGTAAACGTTCTTCAGAAACTTGGTCCGGATATGGTGCTCCATATAACACATTCTCACGAATCGTGCCAGAAAATAATATGGGCTCCTAATATAAAATGTTGGATAATTCAAATACTTAATATATTTTATACAGACAAAAGATTTAATAAAACATCTATCTACAATTCTCACTAACTTGGCTTACAGCCCCTATATTATTGCGCAACCAATTCACATCAAGATTTTTCAAATTCATGTTATCAAGAAGTATTGCACCTTTTTGTGGTTCATAAAGTCGAAGTAAAAGAGATCCTAAAGTACTCTTTCCTGAACCACTTCTACCGACCTGGATTTAGAAACAAAATTGAATGTAATTTCATAATTTTAATAATTATATATTTAAAGTTTATTGATGTGCAATACTTTTAAGTTTCTCAGTTTTCATACCAATGCTGTGACTTTTCCTGCTGGCACATCCAGAGTAAAATCATGAAAAACATCTTGCTCGGGTCTTGTAGGATAATGGAAACTTAAGTTAGAGAATTTTATATCACCAATAACTTTTTTTTCGGGAATTACACCTAAAATTATGATGATGAAATAATTATTATTATAATCATGTTTATTAAAAGACTTAAATAAAAATATAAATATAGAATGAAGAGAAATCTCTAATTTTTTATTAAATTAATACTATGCAGACCTAAGCCAGCTACGAGTGGTTCTCTATCCATTATCTCCCACAATCTTTCAGCAGCTCCAATGCCTTTATTTAATTCAGAATAAAATGATGTAAGACCACCTATAGAAACTCCTATATAAGCTGCATATAATAAAAATGATGTCAAAGATCCAATAGTAATACTAGAATCTGCTACAAGTGTTCCACCATAATATAGAACTGATATCATCATTACATTCCCTGAAAATCCGGTCTGAAATGTAAAAATGTAATGATTGTAATATAATTTAATGATAGTTAGGTCATAGTTTTAGCATTATTACAGATGACATACACATATTTGTATTTTATTTGTGCATAAATAAATTAATTAATTGTAAAATATGTTTAATGAGTTTTGAGTTATTTAAATATATATACTTACAAACCCAAAGAAACCAGCTTTGGCTATGGATTCCTTATAACCTAATTTTAAAACTTCTTGCAATCTCTTATTAAGAAAGTAAGACTCTTGTAATTCTTTTCCAAATATTTTTACTGTTCGAATATTAGCAATTTTTTCTTCTGCAACCTGTGTAGTAGCTGCCAGACTATCTTGGACCTGAAAATAGATTTACTTGTTTTAAATATGTAATAAATACTTTTCATATAATTCATATATAATAGTATAATAATAATATTATATAGTAGATCTGACAAAAATACTCATAATTCAAGATACTGACCTTTTTTGTCATTGTTCTTACAAATCGTCCATAAAATATTGCAAATCCTGCTAAAGGAGGAACTATGGTCAAAGCTACTAGAGATAATTCTGGAGATGTATATATCTGAAAGCAATCAATATATCTATAAAATAATAAAAGAATAAAATGATAAAAGGAAAGCATAAACTCCCTCGGGAAGGTAAAAATATGAATATTCAGAATTGTGATAAAATTTTTATAAACTAACATAAATATCTGCAAAATAATTCCAAAAAGAATGATTAATATTAATGACTTAAGAAGTAGATGAGGCATTGCATGTATTATAGAACATCAAAATAACAAGTAAATAATAAATAGTTTATAGTAATGAAATAGTAGGCATATATATCTTTAATAAGTTTAAGTAATAACTAAATACCATCATTCCAGTGCCAGCTGCAACCATAGCAGTTGATCTAAGTCCATCAGATAAGTTGGTTGAAATAGATTGACCAACCAATTGAGTATCTGCAGATAATCTATTTATTAAAGCCCCAGTAGATCTTGTATCAAACCAGGCAGGTTCTTGTTTCAATATTGATGAAAATACTTGAGATCGTAAGGACTGAGTCATTCTTAGAGCTTTAGTGAAAGAAATTATTAATAAAATTGTTATTAATTACATTTATTTTTGTTAACACAAATGTATATAAAATTAGCCTCATTTTGGCTTTATGATTATCAAAATACTAGTAAATTTTTCCAAATGTTGTGGAAAAAAAGAAACATTAATTCTACTAAAAAATATCAATGATTAATAGACTTAAATACCTGTCGTTGACATTAAGTAAACTCTTGCATAATTGCATATTCCACCTAGTAAAAATACTCCGAATAAAATTAGACATAACTTGTTTAGTTGTTCTCTCGCTATTTTCATATCTGAAGTACTATTATATATTATATCTAAAACTCTGCCTAAACTGAATGGAACCGCCATGCTGACGGCTGATGAAACTAGTAGAAATCCGACTGCAGCTATAAATAAAATATATGTATATAAATATTAATAATAATATTTTGAAATTATTTAAATGATGAATAATAATCAATTATGAATTTTTAACTAAGTAGTGAGTACTATTTGTTTTAAATCAATAACTATCGAAACTAAATATTATTGAAGTTACATGTGTGACCGTCTCAAATATTTAATATGTACATTGATTATCAGATTATTATATATAATATAGTATTACAAGCATTTTCATATCGTTCAAATATAAGTTAACAATGATCAATCACAAATGATCTAAAATAAGTTAAACTTGTTTAATTATTGCTATTAAATTAAACAAATATATCTACTAAGCAAAGAAATAAAAGTGCACTCAGTGAGTTTGTATATTTGTTTTAATACAAATATATTGCAGACTTAAAGCAATTGGTTTACTTTTGGGTATTAAGTTAGTTATTTAAGGGTTAAAGACAAATTACAATCAGATTTTTTGAAAATAAAATATACCTAATAATTTCCATTTTTCTGGTTTTGCCAATTTCAATAATCTTCTAATATCAGCCTGTGATATTTTAGCTGTTTTCTTAACAGTTCCATCAGTCGATATAAATCTTATTGTTGATTTTTTAACTTTTAATTTCGATAAAATAGATGAATAAAAACTAGAAAATTTTCGACTTGTTACTGTCTCCTTTTTTGACTTAAGATTAAAATGAAATTTATTGTAAGCATGGTTATTAAATTGTCTTTGTAATAATTTATGATTCAGATAAAAGCATGTTTTTAATCGTGATAAAAGAATCATTATTATATTTAATTAAAAAAGCACTAGAATTTTAGGTTAACATTTCTTGCAATTCACATGTAACACTGTCCGAAAGTGACAGTTCGTTTTACATAATAATATTGTGCTTGTGTGAAGGAAGAGCATTGAGTACGAGTTCACGCCGATTGAACTTTGCAATTCAAAAATGGGATCCTAGATAATATAATAATAATGGATTCTAGACAATGTAATAATGGATTAGATAAGGGATATTGATTGGGAGGGCGGATCTTTGGTCCCTTTACGGACACTTAGGCACCATTAAAATAACCAAAAATAACAATATTAGGTTCCGTTTAATTGATATTCAAAAACTTCTGAATCAAATTTGAAATTTTTTTTTTGCCTTTTTTGGTTTTCTATATGTATATATATATATATATATATATATATATATTATTTATTTATTTATTTATTTGATATAATTCATACATACTGTACCTCAGTCAGACAATTGTTCTGGTATGAGAGATCTCAGCAATTATAACAAAAATAAAATCTAAATTTTATGTAACAGACTTACATTAAGCCATATATTTTTACTTATTACTATTATACACACATATATACACATACAAAACGCTTGCGTACATACATACATACTTATACTTAATTGTAATTAATATTTTTACAAAACAGAAGTAATATAGTATTTAAAATAGGTATTTTCTCTATTGTGGTGCAAGTTTTGATTTTGTTATTTTTTATTTTGAATATTAGTATACATTTTTTTATTTCTATTGTTTTGTGTAGTGGTATGATATCATTCGGGAATCATAATGATTAGTTTTGGCAAATATAGCCAAAATTGCGTCCAAATTTGAATATTTATCTCGAATATAAATATAAATATTTTTGAACTAGAATTATTTTTACAGAATTTGAATAAAAAAATTCTGTGCACATCACAATATGCAACTTGAAACAGACAAAACAAAAGCAACATTAATTATGAAGAAAGTTGCACAAAATTTTATGCAATTCTTGAAAAAATTAAAAAACGACTGATATATATTAAATCCTCAAATAGTGTTTGGTTTGAATTATTTTTAATTTTACAAAAAATAAATAATCATATTTAAGTTATTAAAATTAACAACAAAAATCCCCCACCCACTAACTTCCTGTTCCGAATTGTAAATAAAAAATATAATCACCATATGGAGCGTCCATTAATCACGTGAGGTTTTTAGGCAAAAGGGGCGGGGGGTTGACAAAAAATCACAAAATATCACGTGGGAAAGGGTGGGGATTTTTACCTGACCTTTTTAAAAAAATCAAAACATTTTTAAAAAAAATAAAAAAAATAACAATTTTGCTCGTAATTAAAAATACACGTAATGTTTGGTGGGGTAAGGGGAAATAATTTTGATCTCGCCATGTATCACCAAAAGAGAGGGGGGGTCCTTGAAAAATCCTTAGAAAATTGATCACGTGATCTTTGGACGCCCCCTTACAACAAACATAATTCAAATTTTGGCTCGATTCAGAAGTATTCATTCGAATAATAAAATTATTTAAAATATTTTTATCATTATATTTAAATTATTTACACATTGGCTTAGTAAAAAGAAATTGTTTGAAATTCACTTTTTTATACTCAACTTTAATACCTCCTTTCCATCAGTCCCTGTCCGGGGAAAAATTAAAAATGTGATCGTTTTGCAAACATTTTTTATTCCTTTCGTCCTCCTCGATGATACGTGGTGATATTTAAAACTAACCTCCTCCTCACTCAACATCACATGTATTTTTAGTACCGAAAAAAACGCAAAAATTTTAGAACTCTAGGTAAAAAATAAATACACGTGATATCTTACGAGACTCCCCACCGCCTTGTGATAATTTGTAATTTTTTTGTCAAACCCCCCCTCCCCTTCGTATCAAGTCCCACGTGATTACGACCGCCCCATAGACCCCATATTATAAGGTCTTTGGGTCATGATATTACGAATTATCAAAATTATAATTATAATAATGTAATTATTATAATTATGCTTTAAAAAATCGATTATATATATTACTTACTTAAATTATCATTGACCCTATTTCCTTTGTAATTATTACTGTATTATCGTACTCTATTACCGGAAAGTAATGGAAAATTGCGGTGCCGAATAGTAAGACTCCGTGGCGCAACGGTAGCGCGTCTGACTCCAGATCAGAAGGTTGCGTGTTCAAATCACGTCGGGGTCATCGAGTATTTTATTTTTGCTTAAATGCAATTCGTCATTGAAAATGCTTTTACTTTGTGTTTTCACTATAATTTGGCTTCACATATATTGAATTTAAGAAATATATTCAAATCTTTATGATTAAATTCTAAAGTACATACAATTTAGTGTCAATATGATCGGTAATCAAATTAAATTAACAATAATTGAAGTCTATTGCACATTCATAGAATTTATGCATTAGTTCAAAACATTTCCATCGTTAAACATAAAGAAATGGCCGTACTGATTGTACCAAATATAAATATGTCAAATGCCAACTGATATATTTCGAAGAGATATTCAATTTTCAATTTCGTTAAGGAATATTTCAATTAAATGTGCCTGCAATAAATAAGAAAATATAATATAAATCGTGAAGCTTAAAATGAAACATGAAGTGATTGCATAACAATTTATTGAATTATTGAAAGAAAATTCATAGGATAAATTATGAATAATGTTTACATATGATCTTATTGTTATTGATTATTGCAAATATGTCTACATAATAAAAACTATTTCTTTGGAAATATGAACATAATTCTTTCTAAAATTAAATTATGTTATTATAAGGGCAATGCATGCTGACTGATCGACCGAGGGATATAAATACATTCTCAAATACTAACATTATTGGGAAAATAGATATTTTTTTAAAGGCACAGCATGTAAGGAAAGGGCTAATAATTGAATGCTTACTTGGCTTAATCATTTCATACGTAATTTCATAAAATTTTAAGATTGCAGTCTTGATAACAATTTTTGAACTTCTAATAACATTAAATGATTCGATTGTGCAATATAATGAACAATTTTAGAGGCACTATAAATATAAATCAAAATATTAAGTCAACAAACAATATGTTATAAGTTTTCTATATTATACTTACGAAACTAATCTCACAAAAAATATGATTCTATATATTTATATACATTATAATACAGTCTAGTGTTTGTCAGTTCATTTTTTATGTCGAGCACACAAATTGTCTTTAGGCACTTAAGGAATCTTGTCAATTTGATTTTTAAGCAAACTAGTATTAGTTGGAACAGAATTAGGGCTGATAGAATTGGTGCGGTTTACAGCTTTCTGTGGTATCACTGTTAGAGATTTGGGAATTTTTGAAAGCATAGTTTCCATTTGGGATTTGCTATCTTCATCCGACATCTTTTGCTTTTTTATACTTTCCCATGACCAGTAACCTTCTTCAGAAGCTATTGAAACAGCATCTGATTTTGTAATTGTTGCTGTATTACTGATAGAAGTATTTGTAACAGCTGTTGTTGTTCGAGCTACTGTCAAGTTTTTACTAATCTGTGGTAAATTTTTCAGTATTGCTGTAGCATTATTTACAGTTTTTTTTGTTTTTGTAGATTCAGCTCCACGTATGGGTATCACAGAATTCTGTTCTAAAACTTTGTTTGGTATATCCACAACTTTCTTTTTATTTACTGATACAACTGAATTTTTTGCCTCTGTTGGATTTTTGTCAGTTTTTTGAGCATCTTTTATTTTTTGTATTAGCTGAGTTTTCTGCATTTGCACAACTTTTTGTCGGCGCAAAATGCACATTCTATTATAATCCTGAATGGAAATGTGGTATGGTTTACCACCAGACATCACTTGGACAAGACTAGGTAATCTCCGACCATCAACTGTTTGGAACAATTGCCCTGGATTCGGAGGCTCACTATTAGGGTCAATTGGAATCAATGTGGGCCTCCATGGCTTCACTGCTGAACCGGTTTTTTTAATTGGTTCTGCTGCAGACAACGTGGTTGTTGCTGGCGTCGGCGTTTGAGTACTTGCAGGAGTTGGTGACGGTTCTTTAGATGCAGGAGCATCAGGAGAAGTTGTTGAAGATCCTGTTACTGGAACAACAGTCAAGGAACTGCCAGATGTACCAGCATATTGGGATGTTGATGTAGTTGAAGAAGCAGTTGGAACTGAAGTCACAGCTGCTGCAGCCTGTATTGCTAAACTAGCAGACACGAAGGCAGGACTAGTATCTGTCGTAGGCGCACTATTGCTACTAACATTTGTGGTTGAATTTCCAGAAATTTTTAACGCAACTGTTACTGGTGATTCAATTGAGGTCGAAGGCAAACTTGAGCGTTTCAAAGCACTAATAGGAGCCGCACTGATAGAACTTTATTTCCGATAGAGATTAAATCTGGTGGGACACTTGGAGACCTATTATGACTTGTTTCTTGACCTTTCTTCACAGGCTTTACAAAAGCGCTCGATGATTTTGCAAGTGATACCATATTTCCAATTTGCATTGATCCTATACTTTTCTTATCTAATTTGAATTTTTTAGTAAGCTGAGTGATTTCACTAAGAGGTAATTCTGCAGGAGGAATTAGTAAGCTGAAGAATTAACTATATCCGGTAGGCATTTCAGAATTTACTGTTGTTGGAATATGATCAAAAGACCTTAATCGACTTTGTACAGATTCTGAATAATTAGTCGCGCTAGATGTGGCATTTTGAGATAACACTAAATCCCCAGAGCGAAAATATTTCTCTAATAAAATTAAATGACGTAAAAAGCTAGATTGGTTTCCATATGGTTCTTGTAGATGATTCCATAGTCTCCTAGTCTCTTCATCATACTGTATCGTGGTTGTGCACTTTGTCCAACCTTCAGGAGTTCGAGGACCACCTCTATTAAGAGGAATATTTGCATGTAATCCCATTTCTTCTTCTCCTGGGAACAATTCTCTCACAGAAAGTGATGGATTCGACCTAAGTTGTTGAACCTTTTCTGCTTTCAATTGCTCTGATTCTTGTTGCTGTGATAAAATCTCATCCAACCTAATTTTTTTATGCATAGAGTTAGATAAGTTAGATAGTAGTACACTTTGCCCTGGCTTCTGTGAAGTTATTTCATTTAATTTTTGCTGTTTTGATTGATTCGTAGTCAGATCTGAATTTCTGTTGATATGTATAGTGTTTTTAGAAATTATATTCTCTATGTCTTCTGCATCAGTTTGTTTATTTTCATTATCAATCGAGTCATAATTCTCAGTTTGAATATCGGTAGTAGATTCCGTAGATTTTCTAGACTTCTTTACATTTGTTTTGGCAGTTTTGGCTTTCTTGTTTCCTAACACGCTTGTTTCTTCTGGTGCAAATTGCTGAATTAACGGATCCTCAGTATCAGACTCATCTTCAACGATTTCCATTTATGAGACTCCAGAAGCCTACAAATATAAAAAATGATTTTGTCTGTTTATCAATCAGGAATTTAATTTTCGATTTGAACCTCAAATAAATATATGTAATAAAAATTAACAACTATAAACTTGTGAATTATGAACACAACCATATCTGAGCAAAACAAGTATAAAATCAACAAATTCAAACGAATACTGTCAATCAATCAATTTGCAGAAATTGTTATATATTTTTTACAATTTATTTTGATTTATTTTGACAGTTTTTTCTAAAAATGCTTAATTTTTAAAGTTCATAAATTCTTACCGTCGTCTGTAACTCTTGATAAACGCAGCCTTGGACGTTCTTCCTCCTTCAGCATCAGCTTTAAATAACAAACCCACGTAATATCGGCACAGCTTACAAACCGCGCTGGATCCACCCTGGCCCGCATCCAGGCCAAGATGTGGGATTCCCTGAGCTCGAAGCAGATCAGAGGCGCGGGACGATTCGGCTGCGGCCAAATAGTGGGCATGGTTACGCGCCAGGCGACGCTTGCAGAGCGCGCAGACGAGCAGGTGGGAGACGGCGTCGTAGTGCAACGTGCACAGGTGAATGTTTCCGTGCTGCGACGTCATATTCTGAAGGGGAGGCTCAGGCAGAAGATCCAACTGAAAGGAAAACATGTTTTAATATTTTGTTAAGATATGAAAATAACATCTTCCAAATGGTTTCTCAATTTTCAAAATCGGTTCAGGATTTTTTCCGAAAACGAGGGAAAATGTTGCACTGTTCTGGTAATTCCGGAGATACGGTTCGACAAAAATCAAATTTTCGTCGTAACAAAGCAGTAGTAAACATTTTTTCAAGCTTTGAGATTTTTTATTTAGGGAGAAGCCTGCTTTTAAAAAGGATCGATTTTTTTATTGGAAAATGTCTTCCGAAACTAGCAAGAATATATCCCTAAAATTCAGAAACATTCAAATTATTTTCGGAGTTACTGAAAAATAGTGAGCAAGCGTCAAACATGTATACAAGAGGAACGAAACTTCGAGGCGCGATTTCTCGGCTTTTAATTGTTTCGATACTTCCTAATTGGCGGGAAATATAGAAAAAAAACTGAAGGGCCTATCGAAACGAGACAAAATTCATTGTATTCAGGAATAAATTTTATCCTAGTTGAACCTAAAAAAAACTTAAAAAAAGTTATAATTAACCCACTTTTTAAACATTCTAAAGTGAAATTTTGTATCAAAAAACATGTTTTTTTTTCAAGCTGCGAAAAATTGGTGATTTTCTGTTTTTTTCTGGATTTTTTAGGTTCAATTAGAATCTATGCTAATGAAAAAATATATTTGTTTTGATTTTTTTGTTTCAGGTGGAAATTGTAACCTGCATCTGCCCGCCAAATGACACCTGCACGTTCGTGGCACATCGGCAAAATACTTATACCCGGCATATTATATCATATATTTCAATGAAAAAAAAATGAGAAGAATGTTGAAATATATAACAATAAAGCCTGAAAGTTTTGTTTCAATTAAATATTTATTTTCTTCCCTAAAAATTCCTTTAAAAAAAACGATTTTTTAAGCCTCTAAAGCAGGCTCTCCCCTTAAACTTCTTTAGTCCAGTCATTTGGTCGTTTTGCCGGTACAGTACTCCGGGAATTCTGAAAATTGGTAATCTTATAGATTTCGAGGTGCTCTTTACGAAAATCAACTTTGCCACCTCTAATTTGAACGGCAAGTTACCGCCTATTGGAAAAATGGCGTCAAAAAACAGCTTTTTTAAAATATCTCCTTTTTGGATTATTCCACGATAAAAGTATTATTCTACGAATTAAACTAGATAAAATTTCCTATAATTCTTTTGAAAACCGTTTTTTTGTAAAATTGATAGTTTTCAGTACGATTCTCCATCAATGTCTTTCAAAGAGTTGAACTTTTTAAAAACGATTCACATTTTTTGGCTAAAACGTGAATGAAATTTTTTGCACTTTTTTGCTAATTATATTGTCGCAAAAAACTGATACCCGCGAGTCCTAATCCAGTCACATCAAATGGCTTTTAAATTTGTAAAATCGGTGCACAAGTTTTACAAATTTGTTCTCAAACATTTCAGAATGGCTCGAGAAAACAAAAAAATAGCAAATCTATTTTTTAGCCAAAAACATAAACTTCTCCTTCAGGAAGTTAATTGTAAAAATCAATTGTTGTTGTTAGATGCTTACAATTTTTTCAACATTTTTCTTCATTTTCAGCAACCATTTCCGTCTCAAAGTATTCGTGGCGTCTTCCCGGCATCCGACGACACGGCATCTATGTTTTATAGTTTCTTGTTGTTGCTGAGATTGTTGGGTGGCCTGATCCTGGTTATTTGTAGCATCCTCGAAAGTAGCCTGATGCGCATTTCCGTTATTACTATTGCTGAGGCGTTTTCGATACGAAGGACAGTTGGCACGCCTATCTACGTGTCGGTAGCATGCGTCGCAGAGACAGTTATCCACAGTCAGCTTCTCTTCCACTATTGAAATACAATGTTTATTAAACTCATATAAGGAGATAACGGATATATAATTACACACATATTTACAGGGTGTCCCAGAACTCAACGTCAAACTGAAACGGGGTGATAGATCGTCACTAGGGAATACAATACCGGTATACCGGTATACCGAATTACTGGTAAACCGCCCAATTTTTTGGCGGTATTTTTACCGGTTTTTATCCCAAAAATACCGGTATTTTCGGTATTTGATACATAATACACTAAAGTTTAAATTTCTTGGAACAAATTTATCTTTAAATTCCATAATCGCATAAACAGCTATATCTTCAAGTGATTCTATAGGATGAACAAATGTCAAATATTATCTCAACTCGTCATTAAACTGAATATTTATTGCTTTACTAAGGGCTTCATATCGTGTTACAATAAGTAGAACTGGACTGATAGATAATGATGTTTGTTTCATCTTATGTAAAAATGTAACGATTTTTTAAGTGATATTTTCGCCAAAATATTTTATATCATATATTTTTTTCTAACTTTATACATAATAATTATGATAATTACTAAATATTTTTGCTTCTTATTACAATTATAAAATATTATTTTTTGACAACATTTCGAAGTTTGAAAATACTATAGAAGCATCACATTGTTTTAAATAACAATATTCAACAATTATAGTAACTTATTATTTATCTCGACAAAGTATCCGATCATAAATTAGTGTAGAAAAATATTTTTTTTAAAATATTGGAGATTATGCTAATTTAACACATCGGATACAGATAATACAGTTTATTATAATAATGTAATTGATCTTTTATGAGTTTTTGGTCTTTCTTACTAATAAGTTTGTTTTCGTGAAAAGTACTCAATATACTCGATAGTGATAATGAATTAATTAAATTGGATATACTTTTGTTAAATTATTATTAAAAAAAATAAACTTATTGTTTTATTTTATTGTATAATTGAATATAGTTGTAGTTGTATAGACATTTTTTTTTATATTTGTACTAGCAACTTTCAATTTTGTTTACGTTTGTTTAAGATAATAAAAATACCGGTAATTTACCGGTATTCCGGTTTTAAAATGAAAAATTACAGAAATACCGGTATTGAAATTTTCCATCGGTATTGCATTCCCTAATCGTCACGATCATCACTAAAAATTTATCCCGGGCAGTTTGAAAGTTATGAGCTTTTAGGTACAACCTAGATCTTTGGTCGAACTGTGACAATATTTCGGTTATCGTAGTTAATTTTTAAATTATTTTTGATTATTTAAACTTTGGATCCGTAATCGTAAATAACATTTCGAAGTCTACACTCAACAATAACTACACACTTTTCGCAAGATTTCTAAAATTAGAATTATTTATTAAACTGTTTTTAATTTGAAACTTCCAAATTAATCGATGGTCCTTTAAAAAATATACTAAAGCAATAAGTTCCCATCAAAAGTTCGTGCATTTAATCAGGATTGTAAAATGGTAAAATACTTGTCTCACAATGAAAAACAAGAAGTAAAAAATAATATCCAAAAAATAACACTATTTTTGCAAGTGCATTTCGTTCACAATCAGTTCAAATGTTTCGGTATCATTGACATTAAGTGAGTGACTCAGCGGGTTAACATTGAGCTAGCGCGTATAACTATTTTACAATCCTGATTGTGATACGACTTTTTTTTAAATGGCCTTTCGTAGTTAATAAACCTCTATCTAACATTCTTAAATGTTTTAGATTCACTCACTTTCCAATATCCGTTTCTGTCTATCCAAACTTTTGATTTGGGCAACATGGCAGGGCGTATCAAATAAACCGAATTTTCCTCCACAGTAATGACATTGATCCCTGCACAGACGACCAGGATGAATACTAAATGAAGACGCTTTCTCTGGTATGACTAAGGCGGCTGCAGTTGCGTCGGCTGGAGCACCCGATCCTGATGAATTGAGCGATGCACTTCCAGATGCAGCAGAATTGTGGTTGAAACTGTGAGCATCGCCTAAAAAGAAGGAAATATATTTTTATCTTGAATTTGAAATATTATCTATATTATTCCACTTAACAATAATTTACATTTACATTTTAGAAAACCCATTTTCGAATAGTATTTTTTCAGAAAACGGTTTTACCGATTTTTATGAAAAAATTTTGCTCGATATTCCTACTTCAGTACAAAAAAAATTAACAAAAAAGTTAGAAGGATAAAAGCAGTTTTCGACTCAAATTATATATTGCTCAATTTTATTGATAGTAAAGTTTGTTTATTTAATCCTGATCAACAATTATCCTTGTTCTACTAATTTGCATAACTTGAGAAACAATTATTCGTTGTTTATGCTTAATTTTCACATATAGGCTTGTAAATATTTATTAAATTAAAATATTATTAGAACGTTGAAAAGTTATTCAGCAAAGTTTGTGTTTTTATAATAACATGTTTTTATAAAAACAATTTTTTAAAATGACAATAGATACCATAGCAATTGGAAAATATATAATTGTGTATTATACAATGCAAATTATAATCAAAGTCGAGAAACATGAGTAAATGAGGTTAATGCAAACATACTTATTAAAATCAATTGCATTTTTAAAGACAATTATGCAAAGAAATGAGTATTATCTATTCCGAGAAATTTTAATACAAATTTAAATATTCTATTAATTTTAATAGATAATAAAAATGAAATGTGATTTTAAAAAACAGAAGATGACCATCGATTTGCTATTTATCCGTGTTTTAGGTGTTCGAAAAATGTTATCAAAAGAAAAAATTATACTATTTTCGAATAAATTTTATCGAGCCTAAGTACGAGTGCATTTTTGTGTTTAGTATGTAACAGAATATTACATTAGAATAGCCAAAAAAAAATTCTTTAGCTATTAAACTATAAAATATATGTAGAGATTTATAAAGAAATATAATTATATTAAGATTCCTTAAAGACAAATATATATAAGAAACTGAATTAATATTTCTGGAATTCTTTTATATTTAATAACTTAATTATTAATATTAGTTGAAATTGAATATAATAGTAATATAATAATAGCTTATAATCTTTGAAATACATTTTAATGAAAATTAAATAAATAATCATGTAAATTATAAAATCTTAAAAAATCAAGAAACAAGTTAAATTGATATCTTTATGTCCCTTGCCCAGCATTGTGTATTTCTGAACAATTTGAATATTGTAATGAGGTGTTTATATCCTTCAGAATCAGTCTAATTTTTATGAGTACGAAAGTATAAACTAAACTTTTAGAATAAAATGGGCATTTTTATAGGCATATCAAATATCAGATTTTAAACCAATTTCAACCAATCTAGTAAAACTATCTTTTTTTTATTGAAACATTTAAAATGCCTATATAAGTATTGATCCTAATTGTTAGAAATAAGAACTTCTAAATGATTTAAATTTAAAAATCAAAATTTTCAAGCAAAATAAAAATATTTAAACAAATCAAAATAGTCAATAAAATTGAGATTGCATATAAAACTAATAAAAAAATACTAATACAACTACACAATTAAAAGTCTTCGAAAAAGTATGATTAATACGTGGCGTTTTCATATTTCATCATCGAAATAAAGGACGAAAAAAACAGGTACTGTTACCAAGCGTTAGCCTAAACAAAATTAATTATAAATGAGAATCTCCTCAATCGTCAACGAGGAACAAATGTAATAATGATTCCGCGCGTGGTTCAGGTACTTTTACACACTACACAGAATCGGAGTACAGTTATCGAGTGCCCTACTTTCCCCGGTTGCGTCATAAAAAAGGTTAAATATGCTCTACGGTGAATAAGCTAATCCCAAATGGATCAATTCTATTCGACACTTACCCTTTTTAGGTACCAGAAATAATAAATACATCTATTGTTTTATGTTATCTTGTTTAAATTAGATATTCATTTTGTCAAATTCAGGAATTTGGTAACCATACTTGAGTACGGTTGTTTTTTTAATAAAAATTATGTGATCATTTTCTCACATTTTTTTTGTAATCATTATGGAAATCTATATAAAATATAATAAACTAACATTTTGGACAAATATATATTGGCGTGAGAAAGATAACTGGCCATTGCCAGCTCCTCACAATATGATACAATTAAATTGGATTTTCAAATTTTCACTAATAATTTGTACAACTCAAAGGTCTAATAAAGCTGAACGTTATGAAGAATAAATCCTTATATAAAATCGCAGAAATCCTTTAATAAAATAAAATCTTGTTTTTGTATCTACTGTGGATAGATGGGCGTTCAGAGTATTTATTTCGACCACTTTTAAAATTGTTATTTAATATAAAGCGATTTTTTGTTTAAATAACATTTATTTATTTATTATTGGATAGAGTGATCTTCTTTCAAGATGCATGTATTCTCAAAAGTTTGTATTTGAGTTAATTGACTTTGAATTAAGTCGAATTTAATGACCAAATGTAGACTAATGATGAGGTTGATTAATCATGTTTTTTGCCAGCATATAAATCAATTTAAAAAATTATATCGAAATATTTATTTTTATAAGCAATTGTAAATATAGGATTATAGAAAATTAATATGTATTAATTTTATAGAAACTTATTAGGTTAAATTATAAAATTTGTATATAATTGTTTAGAACAGTTTTGTTTGAAGCAAATATGGAATAAACAAGCAAATTAATAGTGAAGAGAAATTTAGAATTCAATTTTACTTAACCTATTATTTAGAAAAAATTAACAAATATATGTGAAATTTGAGATTTCTCTTGTGTATCATATACGAATATGATCTCTTCTTTAGAAATGCGTTTCTTATATTTTAAATTTTTTAAAATTAAATCATTATAATAAAATGTATTAGAAATCAATATGTTGTTTCAATGTGATGCCGATTTATTTTTATTTAAACATCCACACTAATTATTATTATTATTAACAACTTGTAAGAACACTCAATTACCACGTACAATATTTTAATAATATATATTTAAAAAAAGGAAAATATTATGAATTATTGCTTTTCTTAAAAAAAAAATGTTTGCGAAATAGTTTATGGAAGTAATATAAATTAAATTTTAATTCGAATTATTAAATTTATGTCATCAAGATAATTTTGAGCTCATGTATTTCGTAAATATAACTGTAAAATAATGAGGAATTTATCTGCAATCGTAAAAGACGCGCCCATTGGTGTAACATTCCGATGAAAACATGATATAAAAAGTTTTTTTATAATTAAATTAAAGTATAATTATTAATATGAAGAATTTATAAAAAAAACATTTGCTTCGCTCATAAAATTTTGTAAATTTTATATATTCAAAATCAACCCCATTGATAAATCAACGGGTATAAAAATATCAAGAGTTATGCCATATTAGACCATTTAAATAGTTATTAATTCAGATTACTATCATATAATATAAATTTATCTCAGAGTAGAAAAACTATCTAAATACATTCATTTATTATTATTTAAGTGTACTGCGTTCGAAATTTAAGTTTTAGTCGACTGATAACTTCTTTGATTGATTGAAAAAAATTAATAATCAATGTATCGGTCTCACAATAATAAATGATAATTTTATATTCATGATAAAGCAACTAGAAACACAAAAATTATTGATATAAAATTAATGGAATAACAGTTGAAGATATTTGACATTTTCAAGATAAGTACAACAGTAAACAATAATACACCGGTATGTGCTACGGAGAGGAAAATAACATTTGATTACGATAATCATGCAAAGAGTCAGAGAAGTGTGTTTTTTATCTCCATATACCAAATACTTTTTATATAAACATTTTTTTAAAAAACTAATTAATTCATGTTAGGGTTTTATTATCATGCATATAATTAATTATAGATTAATTGAAATTTTAAAGTTAAAGAAATTAGTAGTTAGAAAATAATTAAGATATTTTTTTATAAGCTTGTTATAGTAATTCCTAGCTTAAGAAATATTCGTAAGAAAACATTGATATTAATAGCACGTATTATTGATCTTAACAAGTTTGCAAATCATTATATCATTATCTCTTAACATCATTTACTTTAGTACTTTTACATCAATTTTTAAAGTTTTCAATTTTTAAAAGACTATTAGTAAAGCCAAAGTTCATAAAAAAGTTTTTTCGCTCTTAAATCGCTTTAAAAATAAAAGTTTTCAAGTTCAAAATTTTATGTATTAAAGAACGAAGCAAAAAAATCGAATATTTACAATATTAAAGGTTAGTAGTTCTGCCACAAGATAATAAAATAAGTGAAGGTAAAATATGTGAAAGACAAAAAAGAAAATATCTCGGTTTTGAACCAAATAAAAACCTTAAAAAATGTTACAAATATTTTTAAGAAACATGTTTAGTTATTATTCTCTTAAGAATAATAAGAAATAAAATTAAGTATTTAATTCCTTTTGACAATGAGTAAGACATTAACATAGGAATCGTCCATTAATAACGTGGTCGATTTTTTAGTAGTTTTAATACCCATACGTTGTGATATTCAAAATTAACCTCCCGTCCCCCGTCAATCATCACGTGTATTTTTAGTTACGTAAAATTTTTCGAATTTACTATAAAATGTAATTTTTTTTTAATCAGGTAAAAATAAATAAACATGATATCTAAGAAGACCCCTCCCTCCCCTCATGCAAGTTTTTGTGTTTTTTGTCAAACCCCCCTCCCCTAAAAGTCTCACGTGATTAATGGACGCCCCCATACAAGTTTAATTATTTATTTGCATTTAGAGTGATTTGTATAAAAAAATATTTAATAAGTGCGATGAAACATAATTTTGCGACCAAATTGAAAATTGTTGACCGGAACAAATTAGAACGGAAATAGCGAACCTTATACAGTCATATGAGGTGAACGTTCATTATTACAGTTATCAATTAATTTCATTAAATTATTAGAAAATTACGATATATTATAGAAATAAATCGATTCGTAATTAATAGGAATAGATAAAACAGTTAATTAAATATATAACATTGTTAAATAAATATTAAATTTAATTAAACCATAATTATAAAATTATAAATCTTTATGTAATCGTAAATTTTAAACACCGAGGGTGTATATATAAGGTTGTCAAATATCTCCCTTCCGCCTTTTTGTATTATAAACCAAGAGCAAAAAAGCGGAAGGGAGATATTTGACAACCTAATATATATACAGATATAAATTATAACATTTGGTACGGAATATGGACTGAAGAAACATTTTCATATACGATTACTTTTCTATATCCCGTAAAAATCAAATTACCTCTATTTCATACCAACTGTCAATATCTTTTTAGGATTTATATAACGCTTGTTTAAAATGCTTTTAGCAAGTTAGTTATAATGTTTACCCATTCCAACCGTTGTATAAAATATGGTTAATTAATAAAATTAATGAAGAATAATCCATAGCTATTTGCAAAAGTTCCTACAACCCTTTTAAATAGTGTTCACAATAAGAAAAGGCGTTATTTCTTGTGATTACAAAATTCTTTAAAGATTTCATACTTATTTTTCAGTCACACTTGTAGTATTATATTAAATAGAAAAACTGATATTAATTAAATAGCTTGTACAAATATGAATATAGAAATAGTGGAAGTATATCAACTGCCCGAATAAATGTGCAATCATTATAATTTATAGCATGAAATAAAATTGTTTAAAATGTATTTTCGTAAAAATATTGTATTAGATTTTCCTACACCTAAAAAATTGATCATATTTCATGGCTCGTGCAATATAGATAATTACAGAATATTATAAAAAGATAAATGCACACATAAGACATACACACACATTTACATATTTTATATAGGGTAGTGTGGGGCTTAAAGGTCGGGGGTAGAAAGGTCCAACACCAATATCTCACTATAATAATAAATTAGCTAGGTATTTTACTAATAGTTGTTAGTTTTATGTGTTGTTTGTTATAATGTACTTGGTTTAGTGTTCATAGCATAATTACTAATAGTCAATTTGGACCTTTGAGCCCTGTCCTACCCTAAATATTATATAGACATTCAATATTAAAATTACAAATACAAAAGTAGTAAAAACTCAGACAAAATCATATTAAGGGGCACGACTAGTGTGAAATTTTCAAAAAATCGAATTTTCAATTTTTCCATATTTCGATAGGCTATACTTTTAAAAATAACATACCAAAATTTAAAAAAAAAATTAAATCGATATCTTAAATAGTTTTTGAGTCACAGCCATTTAAAGAGTATATATATAGTACATAGTATAACGATCATTTTATCTTTAAACGCGTTTTTCTCGAAACAGCATTTTCCGAATTTGCTGCAGTGATTACTCAAAAACAAATGATCCGATCACTATCGATTTTTTTTACACGTTCTATATATAGTTCTCCATAAAATGAACTATCGATTTTTTTATCGGATCAAAAATCGAATTTTGGCAGGCCAAAAACGACCAAAATTTTGGGTAAAATTTGACTTTTTTTTAAAAAAACGCCATCATTTTGTCAATTTTTGATATTTCTTCTTTATCGTAGTTCATGTTACAGACAATATTATCTAGTTTAACGAGAATTTTTTTATTTTAATTTTATCCACGCAGAAGGCCGGAATCACTGCAGCAGTGAAGGGTCTTTTTTTGTCGCGCCGTTGGTGATCGACGATAACTTAAAAAATATTTAATTTTTCTTTTCAAAAATTTCACTATGTATTCTTAAAACATGTATAAATATATTCCTAAAATTTTGAAATGTTGATACAGTAGTTTTTTTAATATAAATTCCCAAAAATCACCTTTTTTAGGCAGTTACACTAGTTGTGCCCCTTAAAACATTCTTAGTAATACAATAGCAAAACAATTTGTAATTCATTTTATAATCATATTCATGAATTCAGAATATGTACAATATGAAACGATTTGTCACAAAGATTTGATTGCATGAAAGTTTTATTTAAATTTTGTCTGAATTTCTGCTACTAAAAGCAAGCAATATAACCAAAAAATATAATACAGTAATTACTCTCTTAACAAGAAAATGATAATTTTAGAGAAATTTTTTTTGGACTTTTAAGAACGCGTCGTTAGAAATACAAATAAATATGATAAATTTATCTATAATCAAGTTGAGAGAATAAAAAACCGAAACTAAAGAAAAAATTAATAGCCCACCACCCCCCGTCCAGCAAGACAAACCGGTGTTCGATTGTTGTTGGTACGTTGTACTAGTTGAGTAGAGACGAGAAAGTGACTTGCGATTCGCACTTGTATTGTGATGAAATCCGTCGCCGGTGGTTGTCGCCCCCTGTGAGCCCCCATTGCCAGACACGGAACTGTGAGAGGCGCCGCCGTCGCTCGCGGACTCCCGGAACCCGGATTCGGCGTAGTGCCGGCCGCCGCGGCCACTGCTGGACATCACCTGAAATGAAAAAAAAAAAAATATTAGGAAAAGTTGGTAATAAGATTAATATTATATATTATAGTACAGCAGATAAAATTATTTTAAGTCATAAATAACTTATAAATCACATATGTATAACCTTATACAGTCATATGAGGTTAACGTTCATTATTATGTGAAAAATCCTCATAAAATTGTACGTTAGTTGTACAATTTTATGAGGAAAATTTGCTAATAAAATTAACATTATATATTACACAGTACAGCGATAAAATTATTTCATGTCAAAAATAACATAAATCATATATGTATAATCTTATAGTTTATTTAAACATACTTTATTGATTTAAACATTATATATTTAATCAAAATTATTGAAATATAATTAACACTAGTATTAATTTGTTATTATTTCTATTCCTTATAAATTTTGTAATTCATTTTTGATTTTTAATCATATAATAGAATGAAATAATGAATAACAAGCATTGTAACTAGTGACGGTTAAAAATTGGGTACAAAAAATCGTGTAATCCGAAAAAATGGGTATAAGATATAAAAAAGTATATAAAAAATGAAAGGCGTAAAAATCCATTATTAACACTTCTCTAAAATCACTCAACACAATTAGTCCAGTCATTTAAGCTTAAATTAGGTAAGAATCTCAGAATTCGAGATACCCATCTGTAAGTATGTAAATAATGTATATTATACCCTAAAAGTTGTCTCAAAACCTACATATGTTGCGTACACCCTACCATATGTAGGTTTTGAGACAACTTTTTGGAGTCAATATACAGTATTTGCATACTTACAGGTGGGTATCTCGAATTCCGAGGTGAACTTACTATAATGACTGGACTAAATATAGAAGACGCAGAAGTAAACTTGAACATTTTCAATATTTCTATTGTAGTTATCATAAAAATATTAACAACATAAGATATAAAGTTCTCATAAGATATAAAAAGTTACTAATTTTATGAGCAAACTACCGAGAAACTCACTAGCCAATAGCTTACATCAGATCATTCTACAATTTAATTCTACAATATGTCATAAAAAAGAACAACGAATGCTCTAATTAGTGAATTTCCTTTCCTTTATTCCTTTCCAGGAGAAAATTTATAAATGATACCCTGATAATGCTATTACGATTCTTTTTAAGCAACATCATATTTAGTAAATAGGCACTTATACGAATTAGTGATCAAATGCTTACTGCATTTTATTACTACTTATTACAATTGCGACTCATCGATTTCGAGTAGATTTGTATAAATCGACCGCCTAAGAAAGAGTATGGCGGTGAATTATCAAAATATTTGATCAACCAGTTCTGATTACTCATTTACATCGACTTACATATTATTTCTGTTTGGCCTCAAGAACATTTTTGAAACGCTGAAAAATTTACTTTTCAATAACATAATATATCATGGACAAAATGTTTGTTATCATTTATTAATTTTCTTTATTTTGATGATCAAAAATTATGATAATATTGAAATTATAGGATACAACTTTTTTACCGCTGGAAAAATCATATAGCTCTATTTACATGTTGAGTTGATAATATTTAAAGTTTATTAATATTAACATTTTCAAATTTTCAATTTCAAGTTTCCTTTTATTATTATAATTACCAAGAAATTGACTACATTTGCGATTCTAATTACAAGCAGTAAGTGTAACGCATAACACATATTAAGTATGTCGTGATAGGTATTGAGCATCGTGCTCATTTTCCATTCCAAGCGAGAAAATTATCAATCATTTACATGTTTCATTCAAATATATTTTGTTATAAGAGCAATTTTATTAATTTACGTGAAATAATGACATATACCCCAAGAAATACGAATCGTAACAGAACTAAATGGTCGTTAAAAAAGTGTCACTAGGAGCATGATTTTGAGATTATAAATATCGAAATTAATAAATCAATAAAAATTGAGCTGTATTTTGCAATATTAATACAATAAAGGGTTAAATACTTCGCAAGCTTGTAAAATAATGTATGCTGTTTAGGGGGCGTCCACTAATCACGTGAGCGAGTTTTTAAGGATTTTTGGACCACCCCCATTCAAAATTACCTCCTCTCCAAATATAACCCTCCCCCACATCACGTGTATTTTTAGTTACGTGATAAAACTGTCAATTTTTTTAATTTCTCTTTGAAAATGTTTGATTTTTTTAAAAGAAATCAGTTAAAAAATAAATACACGTGATATCTTACTATACCCCTCCATCCCCCACGTGATATTTTGTGATTTTTTGTTACCCCCCCTTCCACTAAAAACCTCACGTGATTAATGGACGCCCCCTTACGGTAAAAGAATTATCATAATCTCCTGCGTGGAAATAGATCGCTAGTGTCGCGATCTGCTAATTTTGAAGTGAAAGATATGCCACGCTCTGGTCATCCAATTACTGAAAAAGTTGATGAAATTCTTGAAAAAGTCCAGCAAGATAAGCACACATATCGACATTGGCAATATTAGTTAGTAGCTAGACATTGACAATAAAACTGTTCTGATTCATTTACACAGAGCTACAAAAAGAAGTTCGGTGTTGAGGGTTCCTTCTAAGAAGCGAGAAAATCGTGTCTTTAATAAAAAGAGTCATAATCGGCGAAGATAAATGGACAATTGGACAATCGAAAGGCATAGAAGACCACGGTTAAGGGATGATGAGCCATCACAAGCATAGGCTAAGCCACAATTGTCGCCGAAGAAGGTATATTTTTTCCCATGCTATTTTCATACGAAGTTTGATTGAATTGCGCACTATCTAAAAATTAATATTGAGAAGTAAAACTTTCAGAAAATTGTTTTTTAACAATTTGGAACCGTTTGAGCCCTTGGGAGCAAGGAAATTCGAAAATGTCCATATTAAGGACCATCCTAATATAATATATATATATATATATAATATTTATTCAAAGTATGTTTCCAGTTTTCCATTGAAACGTTGTTGGAAGTATAAATTGATCATTTCCACGTCCTCAGTCATAAACAGTAGCGGACCAATCAAGACAAGACACGCGTCTACCTGTTCGAAAACAATAAAAGAAGAACTCTCTGTTTTAAAATGATTATATTCTGCTCTTTGGAAAAATGATAAAAGTTTTCGAAAAGAAGTCTTAATAATCGAAATATTTATATTAATGATTTGTAAAAGTTTCATTAGTTTCTAATGTTTTTTGTTCGCCTTGCATTAGTAAAATGTGTAGCACAAATATAAACTCCCTAGCAATAAATTTTCAGAGAAGATTCCATCCAAAGGATAGATATATAATTATAGTATAGATATATCTATTCTTTTGAATTAAAAAAAGATTTCATAATATTGCACGAATATTGCACAGTATATAATATGAATAGATTCTATACATATTATACATGATACACTGTGCAGTATTACGAAATAATTTTTTTTAATTCCAGATGATTAACATTAACAATTAACATTATGAATAATTTAATTAATTAAATATAAATAATTAATTAAATAAATCATGAACTAATGTATCAGTTTTTTTTTAATTCTTTGTAACGAAATAATTGGGTGTTAGCGTTTGAATTACAGCGATTCCCAGGATGTCTATAGTATGTCCTCGCATATCCCATTTAATTCCTCAAACCTATGAATTGCGTCTTAATATTATTTTTTTTACAAAAATTACTTTTTTACATTGATTAACATGAAAAAAAAAACAGAATCAGAGGAAACTTCCATATCCTTTACTAAAATGATCAATCAGTCATCGACATAAGTTTTCATTGAGAGTGTTCTGTTCGCCGCGGCGTGGCGCGGCGTTTTGCCGTTTTTTGACCCTATGTGACCTGCAATCGGCCTTGAGACCGCAAGCGCTGACGATCCGCAGCAACGCCGGAGTTGTGGCTCACTCGCGCGAATTGCGTTCACGAATATTTTAGAGCACATCCTTCGAGCATTCTTTAACGTTTTTCAATAGTCCCGACGACGGCCTGAATAGAAAATTAAAATTCACAGCCCAGCTTCGAAGCCATGATGAAGCATTTTTAAGATAAGTTTTGTATGTTTTCAAAGTTATTTTTCTGATCGGTCAAAATGATAATGATACTTTATAGTCAAGTAAAGCGCATCATTCCGTCACGATTACTAATTTCCTCATGTGCACTAAATTAGCTAATATAAAATCTTATTATAATATATGGTAGTTGCACTATTGGTGAAAATAGTAGGAACACGTACGACAAAGTAAACCTTCTTTGTTCTGAATAAATTAAGAGTAATTAAAACTATAGACCACTTTTATTACATTAATCACTTTCCACTCGCGAATTCCGAGATTTATATGAATTTTAACGCCGGAGCGACGGCATCCGAGTCGAAAGGGTTAATTGATGATATTCTCATTCAAAATAAAAACTATTCAATATTAGTATTTAATACTATAATAAAAACAACAAAATCAAACTATGAAACTAGCATGCAATAGCTTATTACACAGCCCTTAATTCAGATCAAAATACTTTTTTTATTTAATCAATTTCATATTCTAAACCTAAAAATTACTCTAACTGAATATCCTCCAACTACCTTCATTCTATTTTGGAATTAAAATATAGGATATCTTGAACTTCAAAAGACTGCTACGATTTCTTCCATATTTTCCAATTACAGCAACAATACAACTTTATTTACGGAAAATACATTTATCAAAACAAATTTTAAAATTAAAATGCACCATTTTGATACACTTATTAAAATGTGTCGAATATGAATATGAAAGCATCCTGAATGTACAACCCATATTTTATTTTAATGATTTAATTGATTGTTATCGATTACGATATATAAAAAACCTAGCTTAAAACTTATACTAAACTAGGTGTAAGTGTTATTTTGCCTCAAGGTAAGTTGCAAACACTTAAATTGTAAAATAAATCAAAATGAGTACGACAAAGAAAACATAAGACTTCAAATCGAATTTTCCGACGAAAACATAAAACTCTCGATCGGAAAGTTGA